TGCAACACCCAGCAAGAAAAAAAAATTACAACAGGAAATCAGTCATTATAACCATATTTCAAAAATCATACCACGACCCAAATCGCTGAAGTAATTTCCCTTACTGGCATATTCTTGAATTGTTTAAATATGTTTGATATTGATTTTTTCTTCATCGTACACACGAATATCCTTCACCAAGATTTATGCTCCCTCTGTTAACACACGATCAATTTAGGACATAGAGTGGTATCCACGAATGTCCTCAGACAATTCTAAGAATAAAAGTTGACAAGAGTATGAGCCGGAAAATTCTTACCAAATTTTGTCTTGGACGTTTTCTGGGCATATTCCCAATCAGGGCCGAATGCTCGAAAGACACTCAAACTTAAGCGCGCTGGAGGCCTCATCTGTTCTACGGTGACCTAGGTCGGATTGAAGCTTCGTACACACAAACGCTTTTTTCCGGCGCTGTATCCCCGCCTTAAAACCCGTTTTGCTGCAAATCACTTACGGCATCGGATCTGCTGTTTCTTTGGCTCTTCGGGAATCTTGACTAATTATAAGCCGCAAAAGTTAATCGCCTGAGACTGTAAGCTCTGCGCATGGGCCGTGGGAGCACTCGGCCGTAAGCTTCGGCGCCGTAAAGTGTTTGAGTGTCTGGCGCCAGGTTATCTCAGATAGGCGTTGTGTCGCACATAAATATATCAGTAAAAAGATGTCAAACAGATACTTTTATATTACTCAAATTGTTGTATATATGGTACACACTCATATTAATGCATAAATGAACACGTTCATTATTAATAAAACCTGACCAAACAAATAATTTAAATGAACATTTGCCAACAATGGTAGTCGTTTGTTGACATCGTTCATTTGCGCTCATCAGTTCATATAATATTCATAAATACCTTTCATTGTATGTAAATATGGGTTTTCATTGGATGAATAACCAATGGCAATGTGCTGGTGTGGCACATACAAATGCATGATAACATGACGATCACTGAAAATGTGATGACATTTGCTGAAGCACCGAGGCTGTGAAATCGCTTTCTGCGGAACTAAATAAATAACTTCAAAGTAATATTTTTTTTTCTTAAAAAAAACAAAAAAACAATCTGCATGAGTTTAGCCCATTAGGCCTAATTACAGAATAAATAGGAATGGAGTGGCCTCCGCTAAAGCGTAGAGGCCAAGGTAACACGCGTGGGTCAACTGTAAAATTTTCACTCGTCAAGGTAGCCATAAATCACAGGGCAAATCATGAAATTCAGAGCTTAAAAACTTTGATTTTTGTTAACATGTTTATCTCCCTCTCTCTCTCTCTTTAATAACGATCAACAAATTGTACAAGCAAACTATTAAATCCTGGTACAAGATTTTATACGTTATGGTTGAGTCTTTTATGGATGAGTAAAAAAGACAATTTGCTGATTTCGTGTAACAAATTTGTTTTTACTTCAGCTTAAGCTGTTATGAAATGGTAATGAATGTAAGTCCTTTGTGTTCTAGTCGATGTATTTTTTTAAAGAAAAATATTAATGTATACAATTAGGGTTCATTTCACATGTAACATTGATAAAGCAAAATTCAAATTATTTGCAATTTTGCATTACATTCAGTATAAGATTATTATAGAAGTAAAGCTAATAATTTAAATGTTTTAAAAATATTAACTGATCTTTTGTAAATTTATGACATTTTGAGAGCATCCTCGGCAGCTGAAAATATTTTGAGACAGTCTCAAGGGAACCCGAGTCATCTTCGTTCAAACGATATTGCCTTTTGAGAAACCACTCTCTTTGGAAAGAAGTTAAACCTCAGTATCTCATATTACGAATATCACTGATATACACAGATAATGAGATTATATACAGCAATATATATATTATATATATATATATATTATATATATATATATATATATATATATATATAATATATATATAGAGAAGAGAGAGAGAGAGAGAGAGAGAGAGAGAGAGAGAGAGAAGGAAAATATTTAGTTTATGCAAAAATGTTTCTGTTGAAGAAGTTTTATACACATCCTTATACGTATGATACCTGTAATCTGAGCACCTTTAGGTCCTATAGAGCGATTTGATCAACAATAAACCCATCACGGTTACTTTTATTTCATCCTTGCATGCACTGCCCGCTTATCCATTGGCATGACACCACGGACACCCCAACAGCTCCAGTCTTCACACCATGTATCAGATATTTATCTTATTTCTAGGCTTTAGTATTTGAGAAACACTTAGAGAGCAACAACGATCGTTAACAATAATTGTTTTGTTGTGGAAATACAGCTAATAAATTATATTCATATTTCACCAAATACTTTTTTTTCTAGTACATCCAATAACTAATGCGTTTAAATACCTGAGGTCTTGAGGCATATCACAGAGATCCGAAGATTCAAACGTTCTGGCTTCCTCTGCTTCATTCCTGACCTCGTCTACAAGTGCTTGGTGATTATTACATGAACGCAGAAGCCGAACTCTCTGTAATT